GGTCTGAAGTGAACATTAAGACAAAAATAAAAACTACAGAAGAACTACACAATTTTAGCCTTGACAATGAAGAAATCGAAATAAAGATCTTGTATTTCTTGGTTCAGTCATCAATCCAAATGGAGACTGTGGCTAAGAAATCAGGAGACTGAAGACTCAGAAAGGCAGCAATGAAGAAACTAAAGATAATCAAGTATAAGGATGTGTCAGTGGAGACCAAGGCCAAGGTCATCCACAAATCTTGTGTTCGAGATCACTACATATGAGTGTGAATGCTGGAAATTTTAAAAAACTGACAGAAAACACACTAATTTGTTCAAAATGTGGTGCTGGAGGAGACCTTTGCGGATACCTTACATTGCCAGAAAGATGAACAAGTGGGTCCTAGATCAAGTCAAGCCTGAACTATCTCTGGTGGCAAAAATGATGAAACAGACTGTCCTGCTTTGAGCACCTCATGAGAAGACAAGATTCTCTGGAAAAGGAAAGAATGCTAGGAATGGTTGGAGGAAACAGGAAAAGAGGAGGACCATATATGAAATGGATTGACTCCCTAGAGAATGCCACTGGCTTGAGTTTACAAGAGCTAAGCAGGGCTGTTTGAGGACAGGACAATTTTGAGATCTCCCATTCAAAGAATTACCCTAGGTCAGAGGCAACTTGACATCAAGTAACAACAACAAGAAGTGTGAATGACAAGCTATTCCTGGTGGAATTCTTCTACGTAATAATTAAAAGAGATGAAATCTGCAAATCAGATTTTGCATCTGGCCACGCCAACTTAATTTCAAACCTGTCTTGGCTCTTAGCAATGGTAGTGCAAACCCATCACTGGTTACTGGGTTGGGCGGGAAGTATTTGAAATAAAATAATAAATATATTGTTTACATTTCTCCATCGACCGGTAGGTAGAAATGAATACTCACATATGCCTGCCAACAGAAGCCAAAGCTTTCTGCATCTAATGAAGTGGACACTAGATCACAGAAACATGTCTCACAATGACTTTGTGAAGTCTAATGCTACAAGACTGCTTGCTGTTCTGTGGAAGGGCAACGTGCTGGATGCGCCAGTAAGGTTCCTGTCAGGAGATTTTAGGCAGAACGGCTCCATCTTGTTTTCTTTTCTTTGCACTTCAGCAGCTTACCCTTTTAGCACTTGTATTTTTCCACTGGTTTCCTCCTTGTGAAGGGTGGGTTGTCTATGTGCCTGCCAAATCTTCTATCCCTGGACTCTTTCCCTTCCCACCTGTTCAGTCCTCTGAGTCACTTCCTTTTTTCGGTTCTGCCCTCGCTATTCAACCTCTCACTGGAAAGCAATTGCTAGTCCCTGTGTTTGCAAGGAAAGTGAGAAAGAGCATGACTCATTTGCACCTGCATGCAAACCCTAATAGGAGCGTTTGCAGTTGAGGTCCAAGAGGGTTGGCGGATGTTTTGAGTTGGGCAACTCTGCCAGGGAGCTTCCAAGGACCTGGGCGGGCTCAGGATTATTTATAAATCACGTTTCTTTTATTTCTTCTGGGGATTATTCCACTCTCACAGTCAGCATGATTTGTTTTCCATTTATAATAGCATTGCCACCTGTCTAATTCAAACTAGACCAAAGTTTTAAACAGAAAACAGCTTCAAACGTCACTACTTTCCCAGATCAGTTTTTTTAGCGTGGGAACAAGCATGCAAATTATATTAGTAGCATGCATTATACTTTTAAATGTGAATATATTGGTCTAATGTACATACTTACTAACCAGGAACTGGAATCAGATATGGCTTCTTTGTGCATGCTTTTAGCAAAAAAAAAAAATGTGCATGATAATGTGCATCACAGATGGCTAACGTGATTCTCCAGATGCTATCAGACTGCAGCTTCTTTCCTCTCTTACCATGGGCTTTGCTGGATAAGGGTGTTGGGAAATTCAGTCCAATAGTATCTTGAAGGTCACACATTCCCATTCATGATCTGTATGTTCTTCTTGTTCTGCCATGTCTTAAAAGTCAATCCCATGGTCAGACAAGTTTAAATTTGCATATAGCATACAGAAGACAGTTACTTAACAAGAACTCTCAATTGGGAATAATAATGATCCACAAAAGTTGCAGCCTCTCAGCCTCAATTCTACATCTCTAAAGCAGCATAATTACTTGTCTCATTGGACACTGAATACATTCTTTTCAAGGGCTGTTTAAATAATCATACATTATTAATTTTCTGATACAGAAGTGCTCATATGATTTTCCTGTCCCCCTCTCCACTTCTGGTTGTTAACTGGTGCCTATCCATGGACCAAACCTGTCCATTTATTGTGTATTGTTTTTAAAATTCAAGGATTTATTTTGGGGGGTTTTCCCAAATATTTGTTCCACGTTCAGCGGTATAAATGTGAAGGATGCAAATGTGCCTGTTGCACATTGAACCTTGTGATTACATAGTGCTATCAGCCAGCAACCAGCAACCATTCATCAAGTTTTTAAAAATAATCCCTCAAGATAGTAGTGATCTAACTGGGGTCATTGTTTCCTTCGTGTATGAGTCAATAAAGCTAATCAACTAATGTTGTGGCCACAGGCAAATGACACCCACATCAACTGCTGTTTCCCATGGTGAGATGATCAGCTGATAAAAGCAGTTGAATCATCTAACGTGCCATGGCTATTCAGACTTAAGTTGCTTCTAAATTTGTTGTTTGCTTTCGTCTGTGAAAGCTACTTAAATAATTCAGGAAATTTTTGAGATAGGGATCCAGCCGATATATTCCATTTATACCTCTGTTTTCACACTTGTCTTTTTTCCCACCAGAAAAAAAATCTACCAAGGAGAAGGAGATGGATAGCTACACGATACATTTTGAATGGTATTGCTATAAACCTTTTGTCGTTCTACTTGGTAGATGGTTTCCTTTAATTATAACCAGGAAGAGGAAGGTGGTCTTTCATATGGTGTTGTATGGTAGGTCCCTTCGTCCATGTCCATTTGTCCATGTTGCCTGAGCTGATGAGAGCTGGAGTCCAATAATACCTGGAGGTATTCCCCGTCCTTAGATCAGCATACGATTCTCTGTCCCTAGATTAGCATTTCTTGTCTCCTACATATGTTTGCCTCCTGTCCTAGTTATGAACAACAGTACAGGTCCAGTTCTAAGCTGGATGGAAAAACACAATGGTTTCTCTGACTCGCAACTGACTTACGAAGTCCTAGGAGTGGTTTTCTCAGTTAGATCCTTCTAACTGGAGATGTTAAAAATTGAACACATGACCTTTACCATACAATACATGTGTGTGCTTATCTCTAAGCCAGCACTTCTGCCTGTGTCTCCTTCTGTGCACACTTACTGAACACTTCCCATTAACTGGGGTTGAGCTTGACCATTTCAAAATGTTTGATTAATAAGAAAGCTTAGCAGCTCTAGTCAATCCATTTAACATATACACATTCTTTTAAAATCCCTGTCAAATGGTACTTATTACTGTTCCTGTATTACAGAAGTGGAAGGAGATTGGGGTCAAGACATAATAGCTTGCCTACACACCATCTCATGAGTTCACACTCCTGAGAAATGAATCAGGGCTCTTGGATTAATCTCCAGCATCCTAGGCTCTCAGCGATTATGCCAAGAATAAAGTGAACTCTGTTACTAAAATATCTACCTGCCTTTGTACTCTATCAAGTTAAATGCAACCTGATAGCTATTAATAGTCTGCCAGGAGCTTGATGACCAGCTGTTTTGTAATATCATTCTAACAGCTTTGTGTATTTCATTTCTACCCAATCTTTCCTCCAGTGAGCTCATGGTGACCTGAATGGTTCTTCTCCTCCCCATGTACAAAATATACACGTCAGGATGCTGTGAAACTATTACTATTGCCCTGTAAAAGCCCAGAGTCTTTCCAACTGTCAATAATAGTCAAAGGACTCCTTCAATATTTCTTGGATTGGTGATCTTGAACAAAAACCTCTACCAAGAGTCTATTTTAAAGGACATCTAGCCTCTAACACCCAGTGTGCAAACAACTGAATGTCTGTATGGTTTGTGATGCTTGTATAAAAGTACTGAGGTGTTGTCTATTACATACTTTTATATCCCCTTGAAGAATCCTTTGGAATATTGACAGACTGAAATCTGCCTAGCAATAAACATTGGCCAAAATCCTATTGCTTAGTGTAGTAAATCACACTAGAATAGGGCCACTGAATCAATGGGGATTTGGTGAGTCAACTCTTCTGCAAGTTCCATTGATTCGAATTGGCTTACACTAATTATGACAGAACTTACAGAATAGTTGACTCACCAAATCACTTGGATCACTATGCTGAGCAACAGGATTTTCACCACTGATTCATTGCATCCTGAGATACTGTATCTGTATATTATTTCAAGTTTTCCCCATTATGATCCATTGGGCCTACTCAAATGTGATCTACTATGCTGAGCAACAGGATTTTCACCATTGATTCATTGCATCCCGAGATACGTTCCTTCTGTATATTATTTCAAGTTTTCCCCATTATTTTCCCCTCCTTCTTACAATCCTCTGTAGTAAATAATGGTTAAGAGCAACTGGCCCAAGATCACTAAGTAGCTATTCAGTGTGGGCTTGAACCCGAATCTTCCTAGTCTAGGTCTCTAACCTCTATATCATACTAGTTTTTAAGGCTCCTGATAGGGCACCAGCTATGACAGTTATGGGTTGTTTTCAACATTGTGAAGGTATACAAGTCTATTCTAACTAGACTTGTTGTTGTTGCTTAAGGTCCACCTTCCCCTCTTTGTTAAATCATATTTAGGCTTCTTACCTTCTCAGCACATGTGCTGCACACTTGCAATGTGAGATAATATAACATCAGCTAAAGATAAAAGCAAACTGAAAATTCTGCCTCTCCCCCACTGTTTCACTCCAGTGCTTCTCATCATGCTTTGGTATAATTCAGCCATCAGTTCTTCATGCTTACCACGCAGGAGGCCCTGCTGATCTTTTCCCAATAATACACAGTATCCCAGTTGCTTGTTTCAGAAACGAATATAATTTTGTTATGTTACAGCTAAACATTTGTTGTGTGTGTGTGTGTGTGTGTTGGGGCTCACAGTGAACTGAGTAGTCAGGGTGATGGAAGCAGGAGTGTTAGCCATGAAAGCCTGGCGAGTTACAATTTTTATGAGTGAGATATATTTTACAGTTCCCTTGCCTCACCCCCATTTTTCCTCTGCTTGTTGCCTTCTCCATTCTGCAAGGGGAGGAAACCCTCCCAATTACAACAACTGAGACATAGAGAGCCTTGATGGGGTTTACTCAATGGGAGTCAAAAAGTCAGTCCGGCTTATTCCTTCACCATCTTGGGCTGGTGGGTTCCATGCAGTGGGGTGGATGCAGAGAACTTGGCCAAATCCCCTCCATCCCTCGAGAGCTAGCTCTTGGTCTCCTGTTCTTCAGGACTCTCTTGCTGAAGCTCCTCCTCATCCGATTGCACCACAGGGGTCTCAGCCCCTTCCTCACTGGTGTCGAGGCTGTTCAGGTCCGTAGAAGCAGAGGATGTGGATGAGATCCGGGATTTGGTCTCAGCTGTGTTGGGCACTTGCAGTGAAATTTCCTCCTGGTAGTGGTTGGCATCTGACCAAGGAGACAAAACAAAAACAAAAAGAGAACCATCAAACTGATGAGGTTGCAGGCATTTTTTCTTCCTTCCCCTTGACTGGATGATTCCATCCTCTTAATTAGAGGGGTAGAGAGGCTTTATTTTTGACTACAACTCCCATAATTTATTGGGCAGCATGAGCAAAATAAAATTAAAGCCCCTCCCAAAATGCCCCAGATCTGCACGCCTGTTTTTTATTGCTGCAGCACAAAGAGTAGTAGAATTGCAGAAACACATACTATCCTTATTCCATTGCAAAACCGAACCCACACAAATCACTTGCAAAGGCAATGTGCGCTCAGCAAAAAAAAAGCCCACACTTATGTCAATGTTTTAGGACACAGGATTTTCAACCAGGAACCCTTTCCCTCTTGATCAATCCATCTGCCATAAACAGATTGCAGAGGATTCTGTGGTACATTCTGAGGGAGCCTTCTCCAAACTGATGCCCTCCAGGCATTTGGGGGCTACAACTCCCAGAATTCCTGACCATTGGGCAACACTGCCTGGGGATGCTAGGCAGTTGAAAATATTGGTGAGCACTTGATTGGGAAAGGCTACTTAGGATAATGCATCACATATCTGCATATCTCAAGGGCCATTCAAACGACCTCTATACACAGCACAGGCTATGCAGCTGCAAGAACTGAGACCATTGCTTTTTGCAACCATTTTGTAAAGCCGTGGTGTGCAACCTGTGGGCCTTTCACTGTTTCAATTTTCACTGTTCTTTATCAGTGTCTATGCAGGCTATGCCCAACCCCTGTAGGGCCAGAATTTGCTTTCTCCAGCCGTAAATCTTACAATGCAGGTGGGACATACTACCTTCTGTTTCTCTGGATAAATCTTTGTTAGAGTTGAAAAGTACATACAGTACTGTATAACAAAAGCAATGCAGAATGAAAAAAACAGTCTTTTGGCACCTTTTGCCGGAAGTAGAGTCTGTACATGTGTCTCACTCCTCCTGACCTAATTTAAAGTATTATAAAAATAACATTTGTAGACATTTGCTGTCTGTTACCATGCTCAGTCTTTTTCAAATGTAAACAGCAAAACGTAAGCACTGAAGCAGCCCTGCGAGTGCCTCTGTGTTCTCTCCACACTTTACAGATCCTCCAGTCCCAAGAACTTGGAGGCTGTTCTTCATCACATGACAGCACAACCATTAGTGACATGTCAGATTTATGGAAGTGCCTTGTCCAGCACATTGACTGTTCTGTTTGCATTGTGGAAATTTTAGGTGTAGAATTGGAAGATGTAAAAAGAGGGGGAATACTATAGTACTGTTGTTAGAATCTACACATTTTTAGTTAGGGAGTCTACTCTTTTGCACACGTTGTTGCATAAACATACAATCTCATCTCTGATACAAAACCAAGGTCTCTATAAGAAGCTCAAAAAGAAAACAAAACAAAACATATTTTGCCATTTATGATGTAGAGGAAAATTTGCAAATATTTGGAAGAAACATTAAAGTGTTAGGGCAACCAATGATTCAGAATCTATATTCTTTTCCACAACTTCTTACTGCTCCTACCTCTGCTTAACAGAAATGGAAACACTTGCTTTTTACACCTACCACTTTAGTGGTATGTTAACTGCCACACTAACTGTAGAATTCTGGTGGCCCAGAGAAATAATTTTTCATATCATAAGTCATATTTCTTAACATAAGAAAAACTACAAAGTAAGAATCCAGAAGAAAACAGCCAAAATGTATACACATGCTGGAACCTCATCTCAACAGATTAAATACTAAGATTTCTTAAGCAATTCCCAAATGTAATAATGTTGTCATCTACTGTTATTTTCCTTCCCAACTAACCAGACCTACCCTTTCAGAACAACGATCAAAAGCAAAGTCTATCACAGTATTATCACATGTTCCTCTGTTGTTTCCTTTAACCATTGTTGCTTACAGAACTAGGCTTCTGGGTGTGAAATACAACGAAACAGCACTGTCCCTTTATCTTAGAGCCTTACATGAATGTTTTACCATGTAGTCTCTGTATTCTAACTCTTATGTCTAATTAAATGGACATGTTTCACAAAAAGTTTACATTAAAATAGAGCAGCTAGACTTTTCTGATTTTGTTTTGAGTTTCTTGCTGAAATTCTTATCCTGAGTTATTAAGCTCTCCATCAGCCAAACTACTTGCAATTTACGTCTCCACTCTTTTGTTCTGTTCTTCCACTAACCTTGCCAAAATGTTAAGCAATTTCAAAGGCATGGTGAATTATACAATATAAACTGGAATTTTGCTATATTTCTACATTCCTTTCTGATAAGAATTTGTGTGGTCTTGGCACAGGACATGGCACCTCAGAGCTCATATATTTAAACATTCTTTTAACAGCAGTCTTTCCTAGTTCTACATAATTCTTATGACTCAGGCTGCTAAAGAATCTTTAGCAAAGGACATCGTTGCATGAGTGACACAGTGACCTGAGGAATGGGGGCAGGATGAATTAGGGAGCCTTTAGTTCTTCCATGAAGAAAAACCCGTCTGCCAGTCTGTTCTGGCCAGAAGAGGTCTTCCGTGAACCCCTGCTGTTGTCATTATACAAACCCACGTGTTTCACATTCCATCTCCATGTTTGGCAAGAGGCAGCTTTTGAGCATGGCTTGTAAATAATGCTGCTTGGAGATCTCATCAATGAGCCTGTTTGACTGGAATGCAGGGAGGCTCTGCTGGTAAAGTATTTGAATCAGCCTCTGGCTGAATCACTGGAGAATAACAGGCTTTTCTTACTTTCCCGTTAGGCTTGATCTGCCCAGAGCCTCCCAGCCTAAGAGTATCTGTGATGGAGAGGATAGTGCAGAAAGCTAACAGCCCTATACTTTTACACACACACCCCCCAAATCTTACAACCTGTACAGATTTAAACCATCCATGAAATGAACAGTAACACTGGACGTCTGGGGTAATTGATGCCTTTATGCTTTCAAAATAGACCTTGATCTGATGCCACGATGCTCGTTTCATTTCATTTGCATTTCAAGGTACAAATAATTCTAATGCTTCCTTGTTACAGGATCAAGCATTGTTCTTTCCGTGGAAGGAATATTATCATGGAAAAAGCCACTATCTGTAACTTCAGAGGGTGGGGTTTCCATAAAGTCAGGACTCCTGGTAGCCCTTTTGCACTTCCCTGGCCTCCATACACACAGTTTGCCCAGTATGCAGCTATATTTCTACTCCATTATAGTAGAATTACCTGCTGTCACAGAGTAATGGGATAGAAAAGGTAGTGGAGACTATCCTTTTTTGAAGAATGGGCAGGCAACTTCCAGAGATCTGGGAGCTGTTTATGCCGTCTCTAGAGGGATTACACCTGGACCTTTCATTCTCCTAAATGACTTAAAAAGAATAACTGTGCCTTATTTTAGGCTTTGAACGTAAGGCTTTTAAAAAAAAACTAGAAACAACTGCTAACTTTGAAAAAAACAATACGTACACCCCTGGGGGGGCAGCTTCCAAAAAGGAGCACATCATTCCCTGCAAGAGGGTGTGTGAGTCCTTTTACATTAAAAAGGGGGTGTCAGGTCACAAGGGGCTTCATGTGGATTCTAGGCTGCAGTTCATTGAGGTTGTTTTATTACTCTATTGTCCAGATTTTACACAATCTGGATTCTACACAACCCACCAGAGATGGCCTAGACTCAAAGTCTTCCTTAAAAAAGAATTAAGTCTCTACACCTTGCAAAAACAAAGATGCAAGACAAAATATGCAGTTAGTATTTTCACAAAGTCTTGCTCAAATATAAGACTTTCAGTGTGATTAGCCGATGCGTGAAGCCATCAGCCATTTGATGGGGACTTAATGATGTATAAAGTCTCATCCTATCCCAATATATGGATAAATGTTTGAGTTTCAAAAAAGGATCTGGTCTTAGCTGGGTTGTAGGCAGCTGAAATCAGTTTTGTAGACCTATCTGCAAACAGCACATAGAAAATAATGCCTTCACAGAAATAAAAGGGATGCTGGAATGCTCACACAAATACACTAATCACTCACACAAAACCAGGCAAAAGGTGCTAGTACTTTAATGAAATTTTAGTAGTTAAAGTGCCTATTATTGTTGTTTGTTGTTGTTGTTGCTGCTGTTGCTGTTGTTGTTGTTGTTGTTAAACTCCTGTGCTGTCAGGGACATGTCTTTAGCTGTCATCCAAGAAAGGAACTATTCCAAGCTGTGATGTTATGCATCTTACTTTTCTAGAAAAAAATATAAAATTCTATTTTATCTTCCACATCTGGCATCCTAGCTGGGAATTTAGGTGCTCCCCCGAGGAAAGGAAATTTGAGAAAAACAGCAGCATTTGTCTAAGAAAGGAACTTTTACTATGTCCTGCTAAATTAAATGGCTGTTACAACTCGATAAATGTCTCTAGGCCATTTATTAGGGCACAGCAATTGGAAAACTTCTTTTCATCAACAAGGGCTCCCATAATCTGCCAGCATGGTCAATGACTATTCAGTGAAGAAAACCATTAAGCACCTTATTGGCAAGAAAAGCCTGTTCCTTGGCTTTCAACTACAGCCGTGTCTGAGTGAAATGAGGCACTGAAGTTCTTCACAGTATTTAAATTAAGCATCATCACTTGCTAACCTCAGTTAATAAAGGCACAGCTGCAGTTTGCAACAGAAGCAGGTATGTAAGTAGAGATTTTTCACAGACCAGAAGATGCTTCAGGGGCCACTTTTAGAGCCTCATTTTCCTTGCTGCAATTGTTGATTTGTTTCTGAAAGTCTCAGGCACTGCTACAGGACTTAAAATGGCTGAAATCCTGTTGTGCAGTTAGGCAAATGGTGTAGTCTTGCAGGCAAATTGCCCTAGGTTATGAAATCTCTGTAGACCTTACTGCTCGTGCTGAGTCTCAATATACAACAGGGTGCCTACAGAGTTTTCTTAACTCACAGGAATTCATTTCCCAATGTTAAACTGTTGTAAAACAGGGTATCAACCAGTGTATTGCTTGCAGCAATCTAACCTGTGCTACCATTTTTATAGTAATGTGAAAACAACAGTATTTTTTTCCAAGTAATGTAACATTGTCCTTTTTCCCGCTAGTGTAATGGGTAGATATTTAATACTTTGGAAGTGGCCATTTAAGGTATTTATGCACATTTTTCTAAAGTATTTTCTGTGTGTACGTGGAGAAAACATCATCATCATCATCAATTAAACTTTATTTAAAAGCAACCATGAATCCCAACCTTGGCATCAGGGGTGGCATGAAGAAAGTGCTACTGTCTAGCAGGCTCTTGTGTCACGCACACAGTTGCTAGGCAACAGTCTCCATGTGCTCTCCCTCATAAGAAGAGGAACCTTGAAGATGCTCTTGAACAGTCAGCATTTGAGAACAGTAGACTGAACAGGATATGTCTGTTCAGACATATAGTCAGATACATGCTGCATTTCTATCAAAATTATAATATGTTTCCATACAGATAAATTAGCGCATGGAATTTTTAAATACATGTTTATTTATAAATGGAGAAAGTAAAAAGTCTAATAAACAAAAATCTAAATGCACAGTGCTCCCCTGGTCCTGGACTATTTAGGAGTAGCAACCTATAACATTTGTGCAGCCCCGTCTCCCATCCAGAATTGTACTGACACTTCCAATGGGCCTTGATCCTTCCCTGTTATTCGTACTAAATCGATAAATTCTTCCCATATCTCTATAGATTAATTATTGCCTATTATTCCCCTCTTAACTTGTAGCTTATCATTAACAGCTATATTCCGAACTTCCCTATACCGAGGATTTAACTGGAAATGTTATGCTTTTTTTCGAATTCCTAGCAATTCCCACTACATATGAAAATACATATCTACTTTCTGGCGCCCTCTCCAGCACATCTTAATTTCACTGGAGTTCAGTACAATCTCCAAACTAACTTATAAAACTGTTCTTTTATCCTTACTGACATAGAGTACAGAATTCTAATGTTCCAAATATTTTTCCAAGCACTAGTACTTATTTTTTTCTCCCATATCAAATTTCCATAACAAATTGAGTCAGCACTCCTAATCTTCTGCTTCCAATCATGTTATAAACCTTACTTATTATCCCTTTCCCTATCTTGTTTTCACATTCTCTTTCCTTTTATTATATATCTTCATATATTTAAAATTCCCTCTATTTACCATTTTTACCCAATTTTTTGTCAACCCCTCTAGCTAAATAATATTATACCAAGATATCTTATCTTACCTTTCTCTTCTTTTATTTCTTCTTTATTTTCCCTAACAAATACTTTATTCTAATAACTTGTCTCTTTATTAGTAAGTTCTCAATCAATCTTTTTAGATTTCCTGGGAATTTCTCCAACACTGTCACCAGATGCTATGGAGAAAACTGATGGAATAAATATTTTTTGTCAACCCCTCTAGCTAAATAATATTATACCAAGATATCTTATCTTACCTTTCTCTTCTTTTATTTCTTCTTTATTTTCCCTAACAAATACTTTATTCTAATAACTTGTCTCTTTATTAGTAAGTTCTCAATCAATCTTTTTAGATTTCCTGGGAATTTCTCCAACACTGTCACCAGATGCTATGGAGAAAACTGATGGAATAAATATTTTTATATTCTTTCCAAATTAAGAGCATGTTTTTAAAGAAGGTGTTTTCTATATTTTTACTATCTTTTTATAATCTTGTATAGGAAAAAAAATTAACAATGTTCAAATGCAATTCTTGTGTTTCCAGTTTCAACCAAATTAATTTGTTGGACTGAAATATAATATCTGGAAACGTCTTAATTGATTGGCTATATAGTACAGCCTCAAATTGGGAAATCCCAACCCTAACAACTTATTCAGATTTAAACCATTTCCTCTTATTGACTTCTTATCTCCACTGCAAAATGTATTAATCCTATTTTGCTAGTCCTTTAACTCTTCTTCAGTTATCTTTATCAATAGCATCATAAATAGAAATTTTATCTTGAGTAGTATCTTTATTCTGCATGCTGTGATTCTGCCAAACCATGACAATCTAATTTCCTAAATCATCAAACATCAATCATATGATGGCTTTTGAATGACTGCTTTTGGGGTTTAAACAAATTGATTTGAGGTGTTTGGAAATGCAACTACATTAGCGGCAGGGAGCAAGCTAATGTGGGCTGCTTTGGAAGCTTGGTTACAGTGATCTAAAAAGGCCCTCTGATTCACATGGAAATCTATCCTGGCAATATCATGAAGTGGCATAATAAGCAAGCCACTTCAGGATATTAGCAAACTGATCACTTCCTCTGCTCCTCAGAGGGAACAGAAGTGATTTTGTTTTTACTGTGTATGAACTAGTGCTGATGGACTACATCAGTTATAAAAAAATTAAAATCTTTTCTTTGCCTTCTCTTAAAGGGTTGGTCAAGAAACAGCTTGCAGCTGAAACCACCACCCTGGATTCAAATGTGGGTAGTTTCTGAACTGGTCTTTTAACATGAGACAAAGAAAGAATTATATATATACTGGAAAATTCAAACTGGAAGTCTCACTTGGGATCAGTTTCAGAGCAATGGTACTGATCCAAACCAGAGCAGCACAATCCTACCCACACAAAAAATAGGGGGCTCAGAAAGGTATGGATTAGATGAGGTGGTTCATTTCAACAAATATGTCTGATTGCCATCTTCAAGAGTGAACCAACCTGTTTCTACAGTGGACCCAAAAGTAAGCTAAATGCCCATGTAGCCAGTCTCTGGATTTTTCTGCTTGGGATAAGAACTTAGGAATCAAAACTTAGTTAGTTAGTTAGTTAGTTAGTTAGTTAGTTAGTTAGTTAGTTAGTTAGTTAGTTAGTTAGTTAGTTAGTTAGTTAGTTAGTTAGTTAGTTAGTTAGTTTGCACACAGGTTGTAAAAGCTTCAGTCTTCTCTGTTGGCTATTTGATGATATGTCTTGGAAATAAAATCACAGCTTTGTATTCATCTACCACCAGAGATGAATACAAAACTCACCACCACAGGTGTCCAGTCTGGTTAGACCCTCCCCACAAAACTGGGAGTTCACTTACTGCTTCTGGTGTGGCATGTACAGCCATCATCCTTTGCACCATGTCAACCATGGAAGTAGCCTGGCTGACACTCCTCTGCCTCCCTGCGCTGCTAACTAATCCAGTGAGGGGCCAGGATGACAATCCTCCCTGCTCAGCTACTAATTGGTCAGCCAGGCTACTTCCGCGAGGAGGAGGGTCCAATCGGACTGGCTGCCTGTGGCAGTGAGCTTCAGATTCATCTCCCCTGGGAGACAAATATGAAGCTCACTGTCTCTAGATACAAATAATGATGCTGATTCCAAAATTACACATTCCACTGAGGTGACAGTAATCTCACTTCAAAGGTGCTTGCCTGGAAATAGACTGTCTTCATTAGAGCCAGATATTGCTGTAATTTCTTGAAACGTAGTAAAAGAGAGTTTTCGTTGTTTACCACAAAGTAAAATGCATCATTCACGCAGGTAAAAATACACAGATACAAGCGAGCATTATTTCCCAAATAAGTATGAAAGATCTGAAAGGTTTTATTTTTTGTCTGTTATACAAGTGTATGGAGGACTAATGCCCCAAACTGTTCCTAGGTGCCTGAATTAACTCCATAAATCCTATAACTAGGACTGTGTGTCCTTGCAAATATGGTCCATTCAATATTCTAGTAATAAACCAAAGATACTGTACACTTTTTAGCCCTCAATGTTGCAGGAATAAAAATCTGAATGCAGGTAGAATATCTGGTCAATTTATTAGTATTGTTTTATTTTTACATTTATATTTCAACTTTCTTCCAATGAGCACAATGTGGTGAACAGGCCTCCCTTCCTAGTGTTTTAATAGCATAACAACCCCATTAGGGAGGTCTGCCCGAGACAATATGAGTTACCTGATTGTGACAACGTTAGTTTCATAGCTGAATGGGGATTTGAACCTATGTCAGGTCCCAAGGCCCTATTCAGTAGCTCTATGATACATCACATAACCTGCCTCTCCCTGCAACACCCTCTATATTCATGACCTCTCAAAATAGCAGATGTCCCGACTTTCACACCACAAGTGGTCCTGAAATCACAGGAACACAAATCTCTGTGTTCCATTGTTGCGCCCCAGTTGATATCTGAGAGCCAGTGTGGTTGTAGTGGTAAGAATATAAGACTACCACCAGGGGATGTGGGGCCAAATCCCCATTTGGCCATGAAACTCACTGAGTCTTGGGCCAGTCACAGTCTCTTAGCCTGACCTATCTCATAGATCTGTTGCAACAATAAAGCAGGGAACCAGAAAGCAAGGTATAAAAGCAACAATTAAATAAGTGTCTGTGATAGACTTATGTTAGCCCACTTCACCTGCTTCAAACCCTAGACTGGATTTCTAGCTTCTCTATAATGGAAAAGCTCAGAAAAGCTATATTCTAATCCCCAAAAGGACACAGACAATTTACTCTCAGATGCTACTGGCCATGCAGATTGCAGGATTCTGGGAGTTGTAATCTAAAGTGCAGCTTTCTCAAGATAGGGAGAATCTCACATACCTGGCAAAAGAGTGGCTACATTGTTGTTGTCCTCTGTCCCGCAACCAAGGAACACGTCCACAGTGTCTTGGTCAGAGAGGTCCATCATGTCCATCTGTTCCAACATATCCACATTCACTTCCATAGAGGAAATACTGCCTAAGGGAGCTGGGAAACACACACAGCATGATGAATATTCATTACCTAAGTCTACTTGAAAAAACACTTACACCTACCATTGTAAAACTGGATTCTTGCATCTTTCCTAACCAATTAGCTTCCCCACTAAAACCTAGTCATATGTAAATAATGCGGAGATTTCTCATGTAGTTGGGACAGACTTTTCTCATGATCTGATGCACTGCCTACAGTAGCTTTATTGGCACTTACGTCTCCTGTGTTCTATCTGTAGATGGGACACTGGGAAGAAGAAGTCTACATCATGCTGGAAAACCTCCTCAAAGAACCTCTGCCTCTCGCGGAGTTTGAGCTGCTGTTGCTGCAGCTGTTCCGTATCTAGTCCCCGCTGCCCATTTTCCATGTCAGCTGCAAAAGGAACCAGAGAAAAGGAGATGAGTCATAAAACAGAAGACATAACAGACAGCATACTCCCTATTCTCTTTCAAAAGGGCTAAACTCCCAGAGCATGTACAGAGAGTGGTATTTTAGAGAACAAGTTGAAAATGGCTTGATAAGAAATTTTATTCATCATAGCTTACTAAAGAATTTATCCTGCCCTATTGTCCCTTTCTGATCAGCATGTTTCTGAAAAGAAACCCTCCAAAACCAATTTAACGGAGGTGAAAATGTGATGATGACAGAGATCAAAAACAGCATTCCTTGGACATTGGGGATGGGGGGCACTATTGTTTGTATCCAGCCCAACCACTGGCTATTGGAGCAATACTAGTCGCAAAAGATAACAAGAGTTTGGAAAAAGTAACTTTTTGGAACTAAACCCACCCACCTCCCAAAGTCTTCTCTAGGCAGCATGCTGAGAAGCCTTGACTATAGAATGGTGGGGCAAGACAGATTATACAAACCAGAGAAGTGTCAGGCTCTTCTGCTATCCTTCTGAGCTCCCTCTTTATAAGTTTTCAAATGACAACTGGCAGCTTGTCTAGATGGCTGTTTGTTATACCACCTATCTCAGAATTTCATGCACTCTTGAGCAAGTAACATGAAAAGCAGTCAAGCAGAGGAGCACTGTAGACTGAGCTATCCTATGCATTAGTAGATTGGAACTCATATCCAGTGTCCCCAGCCTTGCTATTTTCATTGTTCACATTTACTGTTCTTCTATTCAATCTGAAACAGAGAGATTCAACTTCCTCTCCCATAGTAAGAAATCCTCCATGTTCTGCTTCTGCTGATCAACTCATGAAATGAAAACAAACAACGGACGTGGTCATTTTAATATTTGCATTTAGATATTTGCACATGTCTCCTCAAAGCAAAACAAAACAAGACAAATAAGCACCTTAATCATGCTATACTTAAAAGTTAAATGAAAGGTTGCCACTCCAAATCTCTGCAAGTTTTTTTTATCTCAGCTCAGATCTAGCAAAGTGTCCCTTAATGAATTTGCAAAGTTGCTAAAATCATCTAAAGGGTTCTGCCTGGAACCTGCAGCTCAGCTTCTGCCTGGCTTGTGAAGATGCATGAAACTACATGATCAGATGCCTTCTCAGCTAATTGCACTTGACAGAAGCTGCATCAAAAAGTACTTCACTCTTACGTCACATCTGATAACTTCATTGCCACCTCTATGGGTGATGGAAACTGACCAGAATAAAATCACAGGGAACTCCCTTGGAAAAAGAAAAGCTCTTGGATTATCTTCTGGATAAAGTGGAAAGACTGCCACATTTGCTTGTTCCCAATGTCTTTAATGCAAAAGAGTTTCAGTATCTAAATCCACCCACACAGTTCCCAGACACATACAAAGAGTCACCCTTGAACATGCACACAGATAACAAGGTTCCTGACTACATTGAAAAGCATTAATTCTTCCCATAATGCAAAAGTACAAGGGAGCATAAGAGGGAAATTACCAAATTCCATCAACAAGCATAACAAGGACAACATCTTCTGAACAGAAAGGAGGTAGGAGTGGCCTCTTCCCCACCTTTTGAAGGATCTATAGCTCAGTGGGCTTAGGTCTCTGGCTGGGAAGCCAGAGGTTGGAAGTTCAATTGCCCCACTAGACCTCCTTGAGTGGGGCTGGACTTGATGATCCACATGGTCTCTTCTAGCTCTGCAGTTATTAAAACGTTATTATTATAACCAATGATCAAAGTAAGGAAGAGGAAGAGGGAGTAGCCAGCATCAGATGCTCTAGTTGTTGTTGATGCAATGTCCAGTCAGACTGGTATAAGGAAAATGTGATTGCTGAACTAGGCAGTGTCATTACCAAGGAAACCAAACAAACACTAAAAATTTTAATTGTCTCCATCTTCCAGTGAACAGCCTCGCCTGTTGCTTCAGGGGAAACTTCTGCTAAATAGCAACAAGTGTTGAATGCTGTGGCCAACTGTGGAAAAACAGGAAGAAGAGAAGACAAGGCAGTGCCTCTCTTTTGGGACCAAGGTATTCAGCTTCCATTTTTTAAGACGCCACCCAGAAGATTTGTGCAACAGCCACCGTATCTTTTAACTGCTTAGTCAAGGTTTGGACCTTTGGGACTACATCTGCAGCTGCAAAATTCTATGCTTCTACAAGATCAAGCCACTAAATTCAGGCAGGGCTTGCACTAACACAAGTCCATCAGCCAGCACACACATCATTCTCAGTAGCCATACTAAGAGGATAAAGGCAGCAAAAGTGAGGAGGCACTGGATCAAAGAACTGATTGAAAATTTAATTCCAAATATAACATGGAACAAGAACAATGGACTAAGCAAGGAGGAGAAACAGAGAGAATTCTCCACAACACCCCACCACAGCTTCCTAAAGAGCTAACACTAGTAAGAAGGCACTAGTGTGCCATCATGCAGTACCTCCAGCATAGGGAGGAACCTGGCCCTGTTAGGTGGATCTGAGAGTTCTTGTAAAAAACAAGTAGATCTGATAAGCCTCAGACCTGTGGAAAAGACAATCCTGGGTGCAAGAATTTTGGCCCTCGAAACAATTGTGGAGAAAGATCAAGAAATCATAAAGATTGTCAGCCATGTAATGAGAAATGAAAACTACAGGTTGCTACAGCTGATCATTCAAGGTGATATAAATGGGCAAAGCACTAGAAGGATATATTTTTAGCTGACAAATCTTGGAGACTAACATGAACAGAATGCAACATCATTCTTTGAAGTTGCCACATCCAGAGACAAGATAACCATGACGTCTTCCGGTAGAGACAGAAGGAAAAAAAAGAGGAAGCTTTCATGTTTTTACTGAAATCTTTTTATCATTGCTTTTTTTTTTAGTTTAGCAATTGGTTTAATTGTTATCTTGTTTGTATTATAAATTTTCTTGGGATTTTTAAAATGAAGTTGTATAAAATGTTTTCACTAAAATGAATGAACAGGCGGGAAAACTTCAAATGTTATTATTTGATGTGGCATAAAGTTTCTATCTAGGATAGGTCTAAAAAGCATACACAGAATTGCAATCTAAAAATATTAAGTTGGGTCTATTGCCTACCTCTTAATGCTAGGGTTGTTTTTTTAAAAAAAGAAATTCTAGAAAAATTGAAACTATACCATAGCTGGAAGCCATTACTAACAGGCTAGACCAGCCAGTTGCTTAGCCTCGTATTCCCACAGAAAGTGCTAAACAATTAAGACAGCAGCAAATGAATGTTGAGAAGAACTTGCTCACAATGATTTTGATTACTGTACTCTGATACCAGTCCCTCCAAGTCTAAGGTCTGGAGTTGGTGGTTTGGTTTTGCAAAGCCATCTTATCATGAGAACCTCCCTTGAGTTTTTTATTTCAAAACTAAGAAAAACAGGACAAACCCTTCACTTCCCACAACCAGGATGTTTCAGATTATTTTCTTGGTTTTAACCAACATAATAAGAGACAGACGAGGAGGAGTCCTATAGTTGTGCTTGGCTGAGTACATTCTCCTCTGCTAAAAAAAAATGTAATTCTGAGCTAAGGGATCACAAATTCTTCCCCAAGAAAAGCGGTATGTTATTTTGCAACTTATAAGGTACACAGATTTTGCAAAATTGCCTATTTCTGCTCCCTATGGGGAATCAGCAGAGGGAATTTGTGAAGAGAAGTTGTGTGAGTCTGTTTCAGGCTCTATTAAAAACAAAACAAAACAAAAACACAACTCAAGTCTGCTGCCACAGATAATATAAGACAACTAGAAACTGGGCCTTCTCAGCGATGGCCCCTTGCCTTTGGATCATCTTCCCCCCTGAGATCTGCCTAGCTCCCTTGCTGGGAGTTTTTAAGAATAAACTGAAGACCTGGCTCTTCAGGCAGGCCTTCCCACCTGACATTACTTAATTTCTTCCCCTGGTTTTTACATCTTGGATTATGTTTGCTTGTTTTAGTTTTTTTTATTGATGTTTTTCATTTTATTGCTTTTTTGGACTGTAAACCGCCCAGAGTACATTCATCTAGATTGGTGGTATAAACGCCAAATAAACAAACGAGCAAGTAAACAAATAAATGAGAAGGAAGAATAACACACTTCTACCTCCTTAAAAATTGTTGCAACAATTGTTGCATGCAGGAGAAACAAGTGAAAATGCTTCAGAGTGCTACAATAAACTTCCGAGTCTTTAAATGTGCCACAAGACTGTCATTTTGTGTGTGTGTTTTCTTACACAGGTGCAATAAAAGCACTGAAGTCTAACCACTAGAGAACTGAAAGGTTGGTTTAGTCCTCTCCAGTGGTTTCACTGAATAACACACTAGGCATCATCAATCTTGGTACTATCCGTGAAAGAAAAAGGACTCAAAACTTGATTTTTAAAAAAACATACCGCAACTCCAGTATTCTATTCCATATTCAGTTCTGAAATTGAAACTTACTACATTTTCTGCTAAACATACTGCCAAGAGAATGGTGTTATTTTTTCCGAAAGATGTCACCATGTGTTGATTTTAAAAATTGCTCTGTCTAATTACCCCAACAGCCACCCTGCCACTCCGCCACAGCTATTATTTTAAATTTATCTTGTTTCATTTATGGTCTGTATATGCCACCATATCCCCAAAAAGCAGCTCAGCACCTAGCTACAAAGGACAGTCATCTCTTTGAAGGCATTCTTTATTCAAACTCAGTTTGGATTGGATAGACTCTCAAAGACAAAAAATCATTAAGGGCACTGGACGTTGCCCATCTTGCGTTGATTTCTCTTTGTAAAACACAAAAGTAATTATTTATTTGTAATTTGTTCCTTTTTGCCATAGCAATATGTAGTATATTGTTAACATTACAGTTGTGTCGTAACTAGAGATAAATTTACTCCTTTTTCAGTTTAACTTAACTGCTTTAATTACTTTTATAGTGATGGGGGCTACTATGTGTTTTGTAACCATGGGTTAGTTCCTCAAAGTATTCCAATGGTCTTTTAAGCAATTAA